CTTAGTCTAATGCTTGATACACATTTTACTTTCATCCTAATCCAATGTTATGCAGAATTAGAATTTGATGTTGGCTATGCAGTTACAGTAAGCACAATACATTAGTTCATCAGAATTGACAGTATCCTGTTTCCTGCATTTTTATTTTCTGGTTTTTTGTCTGTACATTTGACAGCTTTGCTGCCTTGTTTTAAGTTAAAAAGCATGCTTTAAAAAATTCTTTCATATGGTTAAGTTTTTTTAATAAATAATAATTTATATGATTTAATAATAATAATTTTTAGTTATTAGAAATTTTTGAAAACCACTGTTATTGTTTATTCTAATTTTGTTTCAGATAAACCTACAGCATATAAATCTACTGTCGTAAAGTTTGGTGTGCAAGGGATATTTTATACAATAAATGTAAGTATTTATTCACAGTATTTATTACTAAACAGCAAAGTCAACTATACATATAATGGTGTGGTTACACTAGAAAATTTTTGTTGTAGCCATATTTTTTTACAAATAATTTTTGAGCCAAATTAAAATCTTTTTAAGTTATTTACAAATACTTATTTCAGATAAATAACTAAAAATCTATTTCATGCAAATTACATTTTTGACACATCATTGATGCAAACAACATCCAAAACTTGATAATAAATGACCTTTAAAAATAACACTTTATTGTATTTCAGGAACTATGTAACAGGACCAGAATGTTCCTTAACATGACAATGTTCTTTATCAAATTGTCTGTAGGGATAAGGAAAAAATTCTGTCTGAATGTCAGACATCTTCAAATGCATCTACCAAATGTGTTGAATATATAAGTTATGTGTTTGAAAATATTAGTGGTGTGTTTGAAATATTAGTTACGTTGATGTTTTGCAGATCCTAACCATTCTTTGGTTCATATGGCGTTACAGAGGAGAGCCTATACTTCACTTACCTGAGGAATGGGTGTGGCCTCTAGGAAAAATTGTAGCTTTTCCCACTGGGATTCCAGGTAAGACATTTAATTTACTCATTACTTACCTGAGGAATGAGTGTGGCCTGCATGAAAACTGGCAGCTTTTTCCACTGGGATTTCATGTAAAACATTTAATTCATTCATTACTCACTTGAGGAATGAGTGTGGCCTGCATGAAAACTGGTAGCTTTTTCAACATTGATATGTTATAATATCACTGTCTGCTAGCTAATTTGATATAAATCCTGATGTATTCATTCAACAGGTGCTGTGGGCTTCACATTCTGGCTGGTGGTGTGTAGAACTGTTGTAAATAAAGGACTTACTTGTGTAACAAGCTGATGGAAAGGAATTGTAACACTGCTCACTCAAGTGACTCCACCAAGACTTGGACTGCTAGTACTACACTTAAAGGAAGTCATCCGTGCAAGTGACTCCACCAAGACTTGGACTGCTGGCACTGCACTAACTTAGAGGAAAGCCATTAGAACAAGTGACTCCAGCAAGATTTGGACTGTGAGTACTACACTAACTTAGAGAAAAGCCATTAGAACAAGTGACTCCAGCAAGATTTGGACTGTGAGTACTACACTAACTTAGAGAAAAGCCATGAGAACAAGTGACTCCAGCAAGATTTGGACTGCTGGCACTGCACTAACGTAAAGGAAAGCCATGAGAACAAGTGACTCCAGCAAGAGTTGAAACTGTTTTTACGGCTTGGTTCTCCACTTGCCAGAGTTGGTGTTTATCACTCATGCTTTCCAACCTGCCTGCAGACATTCAAATCAAGGAGAATTTCTTAACGTTTTAATCAGGAGGAAAGGATTTATGGATAGCAAAGGCATATTCCTGTGGATGTGGCAAGGTGTCATACTTATTGCAAAATTTTTTTGCAGATTCATGGGTAGACAGAATGTCTGTTTAGTGTTTCTTTCAGATGTAGACTGAAGTGCATGTGTCCAAAACATTTTGTTTTGTTATCCCCGCACTTTTGAGACAAAAGTCAGGGATCATGTAATTGTCCGTGCGTCTGTGTGTTAATTTCTGCTATCTCCTCTTAGACCATTGCAGATAGGAAACTGAAACTTTGGGAATTGGTAGACCCATCTTTAGGGATGTGCATGGGAACTTTGGAAATTTAGTGCCACAGGGTGTTGGGCTTTCCCCAGGGGTGGTTGATTCTAAATTCTTTTCACATTGTAATTTCTGCCGTCTGCCCTAGACCATTAGAGTCAAGAAGTTGAAACTTTAGTGATTTGTATACCCATCATCAGGGAGGTGCATGGGCACTTTAGAATTTTAATGCCACAGGGGGTTGGGCTTTCCCCGGGGGTTGGTTGATTCTAAATTCTTTTCACATTGTAATTTCTGCTATCTGCTCCTAGACCATTGCAGGTAGGAAGTTGAAACTTTGGGAATTGGTAGACCCATCTTCAGGGATGTGCATGGGCACTTTGGAATTTTAGTGCAGCTGGGGGTTGTGTTGTCCCCAGGGTTTGGTTGATTCTGAATTCTTTTCACATTGTAGTTTCTGCTATTTTCTCCTAGACCATTGCAGATAGAAGTTGAAACTTTGGTGATTAGTATACCCATCATCAGAGATGTGCATGGGCACTTTTGAATTTTAGTGCCACAGGGGGTTGGGCTGTCCCTGGGGGTTGGTTGATTCTAAATTCTTTTCACATTTAATATATATATATATATATATATATATATATATATATATATATATATTTAAATACCTTTGGATGAAGCAGTGATGTGTGTGTATGTGTGTGCGTACTTGTATGTGTATGTGCGTGTGGTAAGTGGTCCCTAGGGGTGAGGTGCTCTTGATGATATGGGGAAGTGCAGGGATATGCAATGGCTACCCATCAACACCATCTAGTTTATAATGTATAAATTTAAAGGGTATGCAAGGCCTTTTTTATTTTTTTTTGTATCAAAATAAAACAACTTGTGTTTGATAACTATTATATGCCCTATTTATGATGTCTAAAATAAACAGAAGGTAACTGGACACCAGCTAAGTGGATGAAGATGTTCATAGATCCTCTTGGATATCATCAGGTTTTAAAATGGACTCTATACAGCATACTTGCTGCCTCAAATCTTTCTGTTGTTTGTAGTTTGTGCTTGTCCTTAATACATTTGATTTTAATAAAGTATTTAATATACCTGTTCAAAATTGGATTTTTGCATTAAATGGAAATGCAAAGAACAAATGGATTATTAGGCAAATGAAAAAAAAAGTGGTCTTATAAAATTTTATTTTAGAGTATACGTATGGAAGTGTGAACAACTCATCCAGTAAAGGTACCCTCCGTCATGTTCACTTATTTCATAGATATTATAGACATGAAATTACTTAAATTTTAGATTGATATTTGAATTGGTTTGTTGCCAAGTGATGTCCCCCCCCCCCCCAATTTTGAAAATATACTAGTATTTAAACGATACATCATGAAAAGTATTTTTGTAATTATATTTATTTCAGTATGAAAAAAAAATCAATCTGACATATAAGAATAAAAAAGACAATTTATCAGTATCTGATGTTGACTGTATTCTATATGCATCGTACTTAACAGTTACATTTTACTGACAAATCTATTCTTGATTCTAAAGATGTTATGGGAAAAATATTAATTTTATTTATTCTAAAGATAATATAGGAAAATAATGCTCTCAAAGCTAAAGCACTAGTTTCATCTCAAAAATACAACTGTAACTCCCTTTTTTATTTTGGTTTACAGCTGTCATAGAAATCATTAAAAAAAACACGCAAGCCACACATCTGTATATATTTATAAGGAAAAAAACACCTGTCCATGTCTATATAAATAGTGACTAGAGGCAATGCTGGGCTGACCAGGGCCAGTGTAGGGCACCTGCCTTGAGCTGACCAGGGCTTAACTGCTGCCTCATTTAACAGAAAGATGAATCAATGTTTAAATAGTTTTTTTTTTTTTTTAGAAAAATAAATGCATCTACATTTAAATATTTGTCAAGATGTTACAATTGTGCATGTAAGAATTTGATGGATGGCTGTTGAAAGAATCAGTGTGACATATTGCACTTAGCACATAATACAAGTCTGATATCACATTTCTCAACAGGCAACATGCTGATGAAGTGCTTTCTTGAAACTTACGGAGTAATCAGCAGACAAGACATGATCAAATATTCTTTTTAATCCGACACTTCTCAGACTAATTTTCATTCCCCCCCCCCCATTTCAGTTTAGACAGATTGAAGTTTGACAATCAAAACAGTAATGCAGATTTTTGAGAGTTGCATACATACTTCATGCCTTTGCCTGCAGACAGTTACTATGTCATATGACTGTCACAACACCTGCTTTTCTATTTACCAGTCACTGGTTATAAAATGACCTCTTCAATGTCTTCTATGTCATCAACAGCATTCACAGCTGGTTTAGCATTAAATGTGCTTGCTTCTTGACGCTGACGCCGAGGTAGAAGTGGAGAATTTGTATTATTTGGGCTGCCAATATCCTCATCAAATAACCCTGTCCCACCACCAATGATGTTGCTAGATTCCCTCTTCCTCTGCCCCCCTGGTGCCCCCCCTGCTGTGCTGACTTCACTTTCCCAAGGATAGGCCTTCTTGTCAGATACTGGCTTGGCCTTGGTGGATGAACTGAAGATATCATCTTCACCAAAGGAAGATTTTGTAGCAGGTTTTTTGCCACCACCAAAGAGTTCATCCATCAAATTGGCTTTATTATGTGCTTTGGACCCTGAAGGACTTTTAGAACTACTTGGATTGTCCTTTTCAAAAAGAGAAGTTTTCTTTGATGTTGCACTGGAGTCTTTGTTCCTGCTTGAGAAGGCAGATGGGGTATATCCCCCTGTCTCATTGTCATCATCCAAGAAACTTGCCTTGGGTTTGGTCTGTTTTTTATTCTTGTCAGACATATCATGGTGGGAAGGTTTTCCATTGTGCATATTCTCCACTGGTTTAGTAAATGTATATGTTTTCCTACTGGAGCCAGGAGAGAAGCCTCCTCCAGACCCAGTCAGGCTGTTTTTCCTGGTGTTCCCAGGAGAACCTGAAGCAGCAGGTGGAGAGGCACCCTCATCCATGGCTTTCAGTTTGGCCAACAACAAATCCTTTCTGCGTCTTTCTTCTTGGGCTTTAGTATCATTGGCCAGACGTTCTCGCTCTTCCCTTGCCCTACGTTCAATTGCTTCCTTTTCCTGTTTTTCTCTTTCCTCTCTCTCCAGTTTCTCCCTTTCAATCCTCTCCTTGTCTGCTCTTTCTTTCTTCTCTCTGTCCAATCTTCTTTCCTCTTCTTCTCGCTCTCGTTTTTCTCTATCTTCTCTTTCTCTGTTTGCCTTTTCCTTCTTTGCACGTAACATGGCAGTAAAGTCATCATCATCATCTAATCTCTTTGATTGTTCCTTCTGCTCATCTTGCTCTCTGTTGACTTTGTCATGATCATACTTGTCTCTGCGATCACTTTCCTCTCTGTCTCTCCTTTCTCTCTCCTCTCTTTCTCTACTGTTCCTCTCCTCTCTCTTTTTCCTTTCATGTTCCTCTTTGTCTTGATATTCCCTTTCCTCACGTTCTCGAAGCTCTTGCCTTATTCCATCATTTCCATCTTTTGTCTCATGTTTGTCTGTCTCTAATGAGTCATCATATGTAGAAAAGTCAAAACTAACTTTCTTGTCATCTTCTTTAGGTTTTGCCAACACTGCACTTTGATCTGGTGAAGACAGTGGCTCTGCCCTTTTACTGCTGCCTGCTGCTTCGATGGCTTTTCTCTGCAATAAGGAACAGTCATAGGGTCAGGGAAAAGCAGGGAAAAATAAAACAAATTTCATGAAGGAACACCCATCAAAGTTACAAAATACAAAGAATGGTCATGGTGCTGTTTTTTAAACAATGTAAATTTTAAAGTACCATTAACTTCATAATTAGCCAATTTAAAAGTGCTGAATAATTTCTACAGACTTATTATATGACCATGAGTAAATCTCTACCAATGAAATACCACAAAATACAGTTTATCAAAAGAAAGGTATTGTCAAATATATTCTGCACTCAAAACATTCTTAAGGAATTCAGAAATAATAATGCAAATGAATGAAATGTCTGCCAAAGCAAGATTTTAATACACCTCTATTAAACAGCAAGACTTTTTTCTGCAGATGTCTACTTGAAGTTAAGAAATAAAAAAGAAAGGAAAAGAAAATGCCAAACAAATAAGCACACAGGCATTTTTGTTGTAAAAGCTGCAGTTTTCATTTACCAAACAGTGCTTATTATGCACTACTGGCCTCGGCCTGTAAGGAGACATGGCAACATAGATATGATTAGTGACAAGTAGAAACTGAGGTGGGTTTGGTGAGATGAGAGTGAAAGCTGAAGCAACATATGGTTTAGAATGTACCTTCTCCTTATTTTCATCACCAACTCCAACACTGTCTGCTGAATGCTGGATAAGAGAGAAAGACCAGCTGTGTAAGTAACAGTTGGGCTCTATATAGGGTTTGTGTTGTATGGCAGTCATCAATATAAATAACAGTTGGGGTCTTTACAGGGTTTGTGTTGTTTGGTGGCCTTCAACGAACATATGCTTTCACACTGCCATAACTGGTTGATGAGCAGCTGAGGTTTACCTTATTTACGGGGCTACTGACTGCAAGTCTGACTGGTTTTTTTTTTTTTTAAAAATGTGACTTGTGGAGGTGAGAGGTAAGCAGAAGATCTAATAGCTGTTGACACAGCTGAGTCGTAATCTGGTTCTCTTTATTACCTCCGCAAAGGAGGTTATGTTTTCACCCCTGTCTGTCTGTCTGTTCGTTTGTCATCAACATAACTCAAAAAGTTATGGACCGATTTTGATGAAATTTTCAGGGTAGGTGGGAAATTATCAGGGTAGGTGGGAAATGGGTTAACTTAGAAGTGATTAGTTTTTGGAGGTGATTCAGATCAATAATCAATCAATAATAATAAAAAATCGCTGCCTTGGCAGAGGTCTGTGCTCTCCGAGTGCTTTTCTAGTACAGTTATAAAGCGGCACTATCTGAAATAATGAGATCGGATGTTTCGAGTTTAATGGACTTTGTGGGGTGAGTTAGTCTGCATTTTTCTTTTCTTTTTAATAAGTATGACCTATGTGCATGAATAACTATTCAATCCAAGCAGCTCATTAGTATGTTTATGCAAATGGTGATTACATCACACATGATAAGCCACATTCTAAAGGATGACACACAGCAGCTCTTCTATTTAGGGCCATTCCATGGTAATTTTTTGCCATTTTGAAGGGCATTTGACACTTCAAACGAAGATAAAAACAAGGCAGCAAAGCTGTTAAATGTACAAACAAAAAGCAGAAAATTATGATGCACAAAATATGTTACTGTCAAAACTTCAACAAAAATAAACTAATCAAGCTAATTTTTTAACTTGATCTATATATCGGACCTTTAAATCAGTTCTGCAAGTTTCAAAGCAAAATATAACATTGTTTTCATTTTATTTGGAAATCTGGATAAAAAATGCTGAAAAAAGCAAAAATAAGAAAACAGCATAACTTTTTGAAAAATGGTTTTTCAAGATTATTGAACTTGACCTGTATTTCATGCAGTTCTACAAGTTTGAGACAAAAAGTAAAATCGTATTTGTATAACGTTGCATAAAATCTGCTGAAAAAGCAAAAAAAAAATTTTTTTTTGAAAAATGGTCCAATCACTTGACCTGTATTTCATAAACATTCATCAGTTCTGTAAGTTTGAATTCAAAAGGTAAAATGGTTTTCATTTTATTTGTTTAACAATGAAAGTGCACAGCGATGCTGCTGCCAATGATGACAGACACAGACGTCGGCAATATTTATAGACACATGTGTCTGTACATAAAAAGTAAAAAAAAAGTTGGGAGGCACATTATTTGTATGTTTATTTCAAATTTATTTATCCAAGTGAAATGTTTCTAAGTTAAAAAAGATTTTGCATATAATATCTCTGCCTTTTGAGTTCAAATACCAAGGAATGGCCCACATGCATTTCCATGAAAGGAATTGTAAAATGTTTCAAATTCTTACCTGTCTATCTCTGCGTCTATCATTAAACTGTTTGGATTTGTCGCGCGGTGAAATGCTTGGAGAATTGTCATTACTAGGCTGTTTTTTCTTCTTGTTCCTGCCACCAGAGGGCGGGGATGCAAGAGGGGAAGTCTCACTAGATGGAAGCTTGTGTGGAGGCTTTACAATGCGATTGCTGTAGATGTTTTTGATTTCAAGCTCCTTTTCTTTCTCCTAAAAGAGGAAAATTAAATTTTATAATAGATTTAATGTAGTAAATGGGTATGGGTTAGTGGGAGGGGGGTGGAAGTCATAAAGAGGAGGAGATCTGCCGACAGGTTCTACTGGTATAAATGCATGGCTGGGGTAGCGCTAGCAATTTTTTTCGCTTAGCCAAATCACCACATTTTTGTCAATTTGTTATCAAAATGGCTATAATTTGACTCAAACAAGTCAAATCAAGCCCTTTTTCTTTAGCCAATGTAAGTCAGTTTTAGCATTTGGCTAAATTGGCGAGTGTTAGCGCTACCCCAGCATGGTTAAACTTGCTGCATTTCTCAATTCAAAGCACATTTATTAGTGCAGAAGCAACACAGCAGACCTGTGCACAATGGATATGGTACTGGCATATGCCACAGCAGACCTGTGCACAATGGATATGGTACTGGCATACAACACAGCAGACTTGTGCACAATGGATATGGTACTGACATACAACACAGCAGACCTGTGCACAATGGATATGGTACTGACATACAACACAGCAGACCTGTGCACAATGGATATGGTACTGACATACAACACAGCAGACCATCTGGCAGTAATAACACAACCAGCAGCCACATATAACACAACCATCTGGCAGTAATAACACAACCAACAGCCACATATAACACAATGGATATGGTACTAGGATACAACTATTGATTTTACTTACCCTGTAACTTTCCTTCAGTCTCTCATACATATCCCTCATCTCCAACAACTGTTTCTGTGTTTCCTTATGCTTGTTGATTTCCACAGCCACCTCATGTCTCTGTGCTTTCTTAAGGATCTCAACATGTTTCTCAAGGTCCTGTCAAAGATAACAAGAACAGGTAAATTAAGTTATCAGCTTCACCAAACACAATAATCTTCTACTTTCAACAGAGGATACCCTACACACCTCTTCAAGGGGGTTTTATCTTAGTTTAATTAGAAATTAGTATTTCACATAATTGTGTTTTTTCCTTTTTCAATGAACACAAAAACAGAAAGCAGCTGATCATATTACATTGTTTGAGGACAGGTGATATAGAATTAGCATTATGGACAATGTTTTATTACTGCCACTTTCAACATCAGCTACAGATACACTGGTAAAGTACTGCAAAATATGTAACAAGGCAGCAAANGCCGCTCTTGCCTTATTCCATCATTTCCATCTTTTGTCTCATGTTTGTCTGTCTCTAATGAGTCATCATATGTAGAAAAGTCAAAACTAACTTTCTTGTCATCTTCTTTGGGTTTTGCCAACACTGCACTTTGATCTGGTGAAGACAGTGGCTCTGCCCTTTTACTGCTGCCTGCTGCTTCGATGGCTTTTCTCTGCAATAAGGAACAGTCATAGGGTCAGGGAAAAGCAGGGAAAAATAAAACAAGTTTCATGAAGGGACACCCATCAAAGTTACAAAATACAAAGAATGGTCATGGTGCTGTTTTTTAAACAATGTAAATTTTAAAGTACCATTAACTTCATAATTTGCCAATTTAAAAGTGCTGAATAATTTCTACATACTTATTATATGACCATGAGTATATCTCTACCAATGAAATACCACAAAATACAGTTTATCAAAAGAAAGGCATTGTCAAAAATATTCTGCACTCAAAACATTCTTAAGGAATTCAGAAATAATAATGCAAATGAATGAAATGTCTGCCAAAGCAAGATTCTAATACACCTCTATTAAACAGCAAGACTTTTTTTTCTGCAGATGTCTACTTAAGAAATAAAAAAGAAAGGAAAAGAAAATGCCAGATACAAACAAATAAGCACACAGGCATTTTTGTTGTAAAAGCTGCAGTTTTCATTTACCAAACTGTGCTTATTATGCACTACTGGCCTCGGCCTGTAAGGAGACATGGCAACATAGATATGATTAGTGACAAGTAGAAACTGAGGTGGGTTTGGTGAGATGAGAGTGAAAGCTGAAGCAACATAATGGTTTAGAATGTACCTTCTCCTTATTTTCATCACCAACTCCAACACTGTCTGCTGAATGCTGGATAAGAGAGAAAGACCAGCTGTGTAAGTAACAATTGGGCTCTATATAGGGTTTGTGTTGTATGGCAGTCATCAATGAAATTAACAGTTGGGGTCTTTACAGGGTTTGTGTTGTTTGATGGCCCTCAACGAACATATGCTTTCACACTGCCATAACTGGTTGATGAGCAGCTGAGGTTTACGGGGCTACTGACTGCAAGTCTGACTGTTTTTTTTTAGAAAAATGTGACTTGTGGAGGAGAGAGGTAAGCAGAAGATCTAATAGCTGTTGACACAGCTGAGTCGTTATCTGGTTCTCTTTATTATCTCCGCCAAGGAGGTTATGTTTTCACCCCTGTCTGTCTGTTTGTCATCAACATAACTCAAAAAGTTACGGACTGATTTTGATGAAATTTTCAGGGTAGGTGGGAAATGGGTTAACTTAGAAGTGATTAGTTTTTGGAGGTGATCCAAATCAATAATCAATAATAATAAAAAATCGCTGCCTTGGCGGAGGTCTGCGCTCTCAAAGTGCTTTTCTAGTACAGTTATAAAGCGGCACTATCTGAAATAATGGGATCGGATGTTTCGAGTTTAATGAGCTTTGTGCGGTGAGTTAGTCTGCATTTTTCTTTTCTTTTTAATAAGTATGACCTATGTGCATGAATAACTATTCAATCCAAACAGCTCATTAGTATGTTTATGCAAATGGTGATTACATCACGCATGATAAGCCACATTCTAAAGGATGCCACACAGCAGCTCTTCTATTTAGGGCCATTCCAAGGTAATTTTTTGCCATTTTGAAGGGCATTTGACACTTCAAACGAAGATAAAAACAAGGCAGCAAAGCTGTTAAATGTACAAACAAAAAGCAGAAAATTATGATGCACAAAATATGTTACTGTCAAAACTTCAACAAAAATAAACTAATCAAGCTAATTTTTTAACTTGATCTTTATATCGGACCTTTAAATCAGTTCTGCAAGTTTCAAAGCAAAATATAACATTGTTTTCATTTTATTTGGAAATCTGGATAAAAAATGCTGAAAAAAGCAAAAATAAGAAAACAGCATAACTTTTTGAAAAATGGTCCAATCAGGCTGATTATTGAACTTGACCTGTATTTCATGCATATTCATCAGTTCTACAAGTTTGAGACAAAAAGTAAAATCGTATTTGTATAACGTTGCATAAAATCTGCTGAAAAAGCAAAAAAAAAATTTTTTTTTGAAAAATGGTCCAATCACTTGACCTGTATTTCATAAACATTCATCAGTTCTGTAAGTTTGAATTCAAAAGGTAAAATGGTTTCATTTTATTTGTTTAACAATGAAAGTGCACAGCGATGATGCTGCCAATGACGACAGACACAGATGGCGGCAATATTTACAGACACGTGTCTGTACATAAAGAGTTTAAAAAAAAGTCGGGAGGCACATTATTTGTATGTTTATTTCAAAATTATTTATCCAAGTGAAATGTTTCTAAGTTAAAAAAGATTTTGCATATAATATCTCTGCCTTTTAAGTTCAAATACCAAGGAATGGCCCACATGCATTTCGATGAAAGGAATTGTAAAATGTTTCAAATTCTTACCTGTCTATCTCTGCGTCTATCATTAAACTGTTTGGCTTTGTCGCGCGGTGAAATGCTTGGAGAATTGTCATTACTAGGCTGTTTTTTCTTCTTGTTCCTGCCACCAGAGGGCGGGGATGCAAGAGGGGAAGTCTCACTAGATGGAAGCTTGTGTGGAGGCTTTACAATGCGATTGCTGTAGATGTTTTTGATTTCAAGCTCCTTTTCTTTCTCCTAAAAGAGGAAAATTAAATTTTATAATAGATTTAATGTAGTAAATGGGTATGGGTTAGTGGGAGGGGGGTGGAAGTCATAAAGAGGAGGAGATCTGCCGACAGGTTCTACTGGACAGTATAAATGCATGGTTAAAGTTGCTGCATTTCCCAATTCAAAGCACATTTATTAGTGCAGAAGCAACACAGCAGACCTGTGCACAATGGATATGGTACTGACATACAACACAGCAGACCTGTGCACAATGGATATGGTACTGACATACAACACAGCAGACCTGTGCACAATGGATATGGTACTAGGATACAACTATTGATTTTACTTACCCTGTAACTTTCCTTCAGTCTCTCATACATATCCCTCATCTCCAACAACTGTTTCTGTGTTTCCTTATGCTTGTTGATTTCCACAGCCACCTCATGTCTCTGTGCTTTCTTAAGGATCTCAACATGTTTCTCAAGGTCCTGTCAAAGATAACAAGAACAGGTAAATTAAGTAATCAGCTTCACCAAACACAATAATCTTCTACTTTCAACAGAGGATCCCCTACACACCTCTTCAAGGGGTTTTTATCTTAGTTTAATAAGAAATTAGTATTTCACATAATTGTGTTTTTTCCTTTTTCAATGAACACAAAAACAGCAGCTGATCATATTCCATTGTTTGAGGACAGGTGATATAGAATTAGCATTAGGGACAATGTTTTATTACTGCCACTTTCAACATCAGCTACAGATACACTGGTAAAGTACTGCAAAATATGTAAAAATACTCTCAAAATCACCATCTCACTCACTGCACCCTGGGGATGTCCTGTGCACAGCTGCTTGGGAGATGTCAACTACACTGGGGTATATATAGATTTCCAATATGCATTCCAAAGACACTTTGTAAAGACCCAATCCCTCCCAAGTGCCAACTGTCTTCAAACAAATACAGGACAAGGAACTATTGATTGTTTCTAAATTAAGCATCTTAATCTCTCTCATGGTCCTAGTGTGTAAGTATTTTCCTACACTGCACTCGCTATAACAGCACGACAATTCTTAACAGTTAAACTACTGGTACTTTCAAGGCATCATCAAGAATACACATGCAGAAGTAATCAATCATGCAACTGGCCCTAAAATAAACTGGATATACACACTTGGTGTCTGGTAGTAATAACACAACCAGCACCCAAATATAACACAACCAGCAGCCACATATAACACAACCATCTGGCAGTAATAACACAACCAACAGCCACATATAACACAACCATCTGGCAGTAATAACACAACCAACAGCCACATATAACACAACCATATTTCACAAACACATAACGCATATAACTATTGTCTCTTAAGTAAACATGATATATGGTACACACCTGGCACCTTTTAGTCTTTTCTTCAAGCTCATTTTCTGCTTTGGCCAGCTTTCTATTAAGATCATCACGCTCACCAAGTTTCTTATCATGGGAGAGATCTTCCAATTTTTTAAGTTGTTTTTTGGTTTTTGTAACATCATCTTCTGCCTCTCGTAACTTTTTCTCAGTTCTACTGCTTTTTTCTTTGAGTTTTTTAATTTGCTCTCTTAAAGTCCTAACTTCATCAGCATGTCCCTTAATCAACTGAGGAAGATCACTTTCTTTGTCCTCAAACCGTTGAAGTTCTCTATCCTGTTTGGCTTGCAAACGTTTCAAGGTCTTATTCTCCAGTTTGAGGTCAGCTATTTGCTGATGCATGTCCTCTATTTCATTGCGCATCTCTGAGATCTTTAGCTTCCTGGCAGATAACACTCTCCTGGTGACATTGTCACTGACTGCTTTACTGGTTCTGCCTCCCCTGGTGGCACGACTGTAACTTTTCTGGGCTGAAACAGGAACAAGTAAAACAATAGAGTCAACAGTCATTTGAGATGATTTACTGCACAAATTTATTTGCAATATGGCAAGCATTCATTCAAACCATAATCAGTTGCCAGGTACAGCATAACCAATCATGAGAAAAACACAACCACACACATCACACAAATCTGGCACTGATAACACAACCATCTGGCAGTTATAACACAACCAGCATCCACAAATAACACAACCATCTGGCAGTGATAACACAACCAGCATCCACAAATAACACAACCATCTGGCAGTGATAACACAACCATCTGGCAGTTATAACACAACCAGCATCCACAAATAACACAACCATCTGGCAGTGATAACACAACCAGCATCCACAAATAACACAACCATCTGGCAGTGATAACACAACCATCTGGCAGTTATAACACAACCAGCATCCACAAATAACACAACCATCTGGCATGGATATCACAACCAGCATCCACAAATAACACAACCATCTGGCAGTGATAACACAACCATCTGGCAGTGATAACACAACCAGCATCTACAAATAACACAACCATATGGTAGTGATAACACAACCAGCATCCACAAATAACACAACCATCTGGCAGTGATAATACAACCAGCAGTCATACATGGCATCAGTAGCTTTTTAACAGCAAGTCTTGTTTACAGCACAATGAGACTTAACAGCACATACATAATAAATTTATATTAGTGAGTGCGTGTGATCAAGCAAATATGGTATGCATGCAATAGGTTGATAAGTATTGTAACTGCTCAAGAAAAATAGTATAAGAGACATCAAAGAGACCTAAATATACTTCTTTACAGACAATATCACAAATAAGAAATAATAATACATAAAAGAAAAACTCAAGATTGTTAATTAACTTATATACAAAAAGAATACATCTGCCTAAAATACATCAAGAGTAACAAAAAATAATTAACTGCTTTTTAATAGATAAATAAAATAAAATGAAACAAAAAACACACCAGCTCTGTAGCTTTTGTTTCCCCTTGGAGTGTACCGTCTCTTACCACGCGGAGTTCTGGATCTCTTGCCATCATCATCTTCAAAGGAATCACTGTAATGTCCATAGGAGTTATTGGAATGAGCACTATATCTACGCTCTCGGCTACGACTACGTGACCTTGGCGTAGGAGAACGACTGTTCCTACGACGTGGGCTAGGTGAACGTCTGGGGCTTGGTGAACGCCGTGGACTTCTAGGACTTACTGTGCGTGTCCGTCCTGACATTCTTTCTGCACTGCTTAGTTTTGCTGCTGGCATCAAATCAGATTTTTATATTCCACATGCAGCACTGTGTCAGTTTGGGTTACTTATGGCATTCAGTACATTTAGTGTGCTAATCATGCTTACTTTCCATGCTTTAATTGTTGTGCTCTGAAAGGAAGAATAAAAGAGTAAGTGGTGCCATTTAAGAGATGCATGCAGTTGACAGGCTACATGGACATTCAGCATGCACAACAATTTCATATCCATGGGTCTCAAGGTCAACTCATATAACATGTCCAAACTTCCATACATGTTTATCAGACTGTGACATTCAGCCACAAATTTGATTGAACTTAACCTTACATGCATTTTGTTATCCAATGTGTATGTTCCTGTGAAGGGACATTAATAAAGACCAGTCTAGATAACATATATGTGGCTATAGTACAGTGAACTTCAATCCAACCCTTCCTACCTCCCCGTTTCTGACAAGACAAGAACCTGTATAATTTTTTTTTTTTTTAATGAAGAAGCTGGAACTCTGACAATTTAAAAGATTTAACCTTAGGCTGATTTTAATTACATGTGAGGTTGTACCTTCATGTAGTTGCAGTTCCATGTACTACATTTATACATATACTGTAGTTGTTTTCTTGGTAATCCAAAGGTATAATACTAATGTACTATAGTTATACATATACTGTAGTTGTTTTCTTGGTAATCCAAAGGTATAATACTAATGTACTATAGTTATACATATACTGTAGTTGTTTTCTTGGTAATCCAAAGGTATAATACTAATGTACTATATTTATACATATACTGTAGTTGTTTTCTTGGTAATCCAAAGGTATAAACCATTGGATTACCGAGAAAAGTACTATATATAAATCCAATGGTCCGAAGGTTCATTAGTCCAAGATTTTGTTTGTCTCTGAGGGTTTTCAACTTACTGCCAGTAACCTATACACTTTATTCATGCGTTACTACAGACTATTGCACTGTCAGACCAATGAACCTTCAGACTACTGTTATGGCTCTCTTTTCTTCACAGCGTGTCAGTCTCCATGGTGTGCTTTGTGGCAAACACTGAACAGACTTCATTTATCTATCAAATATTACACTTGACAGACCTCAAATGACAGGTAAATACACTGTACCTTGAACAACATCAATATATTACAGCTGTTTTCTGAATCTCGGTCTCATACAAGTCCTTATTTGTCAGAAGTGGCTGTGATATTTTGTCCACCGGTGCACAACTGTGTTTCTTGCACCCGCAATTAGCGATCTCTTGATCTCTAAGTGTTTAGGAAATGGTTATTGAATTTCTTGTCACTATGGGAAGCACAGGAAATCGATTAATTGTGTAAAATGTACAGCTAATCATCCGATCGGCAACCCTCGAGTGCAAGACTATGAAATTAGACAAATGTAAACTACTAAACCCAAGCGATTGGTTTTTTAAGTTCAGTTTAAAGTACCGTACGTTACCTAATTGAGCTAGGTGGGCCCCGGGTTTCTCATCTCCTGTATAATTGTATAAAATTTCCATCTAGAACAACGAGGTGGTTGAACTGTGTAGAGAAGAAGAGAAAGGTGAATAATCAGGTTTTGTTTTCCTACCAAGCAACGATACAAACAGCCGCAGTTTTGGTGACGTCATTTTTCTGACGTCATTGATTTGTGTGTACTCCCATGTTGGAATTCCCCAAATTTGAGACTGTAGGCTGGCGCTTCTGAAATCTCCGTCCATCGGCAATTTGTGGTGAACATAAATAACAAATTGTTTGGATTAATCCAAAGGAAATTTGTTGTATTTTATCTCCTGTGATTAGAAGATGGTTATCAAGCTTTATATGTCTTCTCTCTCAGGAAGCACTGAGGTAGGTCGCCTGTCAAAATATTTGTTTACATTCTGTTGACACACCCACACAAGTTAAGTTAGTGGAAATAATGTTTGTAGGAGGTTGAGGATGACCCCATTGTAAATACCATCGGAGCCTTTTGCATTTTACCGTATAAGCAAGTCTGGTATATCTTACTACTGACATAAGGCCTTGTCATATGTAGGATTTAATCTTACCCTGTCATCTGTAACACTGCAGTACACTGTACGTATGATGCTGCCTTGATATCATGTAACCACAGTTTAATCTTAGCTTGCCATTTAGGCTCACAACAGGAGTAAGACAGGCCCTCTTTATTTGAATCAATATTAAATGACAGGGATACATACTATTACGCATAAAAGTGCTTTCTCTTTGCATGTTTTGGTAAGTCTTATTATTATTATTATTATTATCTATTATTATTATTATTATTATTATTATTATTATTGCTTGTTTTGTTGATAATTACAGATTAAAAAGAAGCAGTCCAAGATCAAGGATCTCCTGGAAAGTTTGAAGATAGAATTTGAAGAAATTGATATCTCAGATCACCGCAATGAAAAACAAAAAGAGTTTATGAGAAATAACAGCAAGGGCAAGAAGGAGGGAGAGACCCCCATAGCCCCGCAACTCTTTAATGATGACAAGTATTTGGGGGTAATTTCTCTTTTTCATCTAGACCTGTTTCTTTAATCTCATTGAATTTACATATTTGATAGTTTTAGAAGGACTTACATAAAACTGGTTGTATGAGTACATTAAAGAAAGATATACATGGGGCGTGGTTCATAACATCAGTACATTAAGGTAAAAATCCTGGCATGAGTAAATTAAGATAGATTTGGCAAAATGTAGGGATGTTTGACAGCTGATCGTCTACACTATCTAGTTTGTTTTATTTTCCATATGTGAAATTGTTTTTCTTATAATACATCTATCTTCACACAGGATTATGATGCCTTCCTGGATGCAACAGAAAATGAACAAATCTATGAATTCTTTCAATTGCAATCTCCCAAAAAAGATAAGAAGTCAGAAGAGGTGATAACAAATGTAAGTGCTTGACTAAGTCTGCTGCTTCCAACATTGGGAGGGTGTTAACACAGTACTTAAGGTTAAGAAGAATTTTAATTTTAATTAAAATGTATTTTTTCTTCAAATGGAGACAACTTAATTTAGAATAATGATTTTGTCTTATTTGTTCCAAATGTTACAGTATTGGTATCATTTGAAAGTTGTTATTTTAAGAACAGGATTCTGTGATGATCTGTAAGAGTATTGGTATCACATGACACTTGTCATTTGTAAAGCAGGATTCTGTGATATTCTGTAACGGTATTGGTGTCACATGACACATCTGATATAGTGCACCTTTTTGTACAATTTATATATATATTGCAAAGTCATGTGCCTGTACATTTATTAGCTTTATTATATAGATATATTGCAATGTCATTGACTACTATTGTGTAGAAAAATGGAGATGTAGAAGAGGAGGAGAAGACAGACAAGGAAAAAGAGCAGGATTCGGTAACTTGTTGCCTTGCATCTGTTGCCATCTGCTTCTATTTGATATGATTATACCCACTTTGTAATAGAATGAATAGCATGTGCTTTGCCATTTGATTTTTTTTTTCACATTTATTTGTTTAGGTCAATTCTTATGCTAGCAAATGTTGCATTTGGATACTGAACTGAAAATGATTGAGTTATTTGAATTAAATTACATAAGTAAATTTTCAGAAACATTTTGTCCAAAAAATTCAACATTATCTTGGAGTCAGCAGAGGCCATAAACTACCGTAGTATGCCACTGGATAGTGAAAGAACATATATAGTCATCATTTCGATTTGACCCTATTTCAGTATGAACAATACTAGTGTAGTATGCCAGTGGATAGTGAAAGAATAGATATAGTCATCATTACGATTTGATCCTCTTTTAAGGACCGTTCACATGAGAAATCTATTTTCTAAAAATCTATTTGCGGTATCTTGTGATCACAAGATACCGCAAATAGATTTTCAGATTTTAGAAAATAGATTTTGTATGTGAACGCAGCCTAAGTATGTGGAATACCCTCTGTGAAATGATTAATTCAACAATCCAAATTGCGCACTGATCAAAGTGAAGCCTAAGCTTAATTGCTGACCCCTGTACTAGCTAGTGTTGTGAAGGCAGCCTAAGTATGTGGAATACCCTCTGTCTGTGAAATGATTAATTCAACAATCCAAATTGCGCACTGATCAAAGTGAAGCCTAGGCTTAATTGCTGACCCCTGTCCTAGCTAGTGTTGTGAATGCAGCCTTAGATTTCAGCAGCTTGACATGAATGAACCAATATCTTATGTTTTATCCGCATGACAAGAAATACTTAGTTTTGGATTTTATCTCCAAAATGAACTGGTAGACTAGTAGCACCTTGTTTTATCTCATGGACCTGAATACCTAAAAGGTTTTATCTCAATGGACTAGTAGCACCTTGTTTTATCTCATGGACCTGAATACCTAAAAGGTTTTATCTCAATGGACTAGTAGCACCTTGTTTTATCTCATGGACCTGAATGCATAGGTTTTATCTCATAAACTGGCTTTACTTAAATCCTTGATTTTAGCAGGTGGACTTTCTGCAACAGCTTTAATAAAGCTTACAGAACATATTTATTGCCCAATTGAGAAATTATATTTGTTTATAATGTAAATGTCACATGAACTCGAGATGCTACCCATGCTTGAAGTGCTTACTTATAGTTGCAATTGCAGCATTCTTGATGGGATTTAGTTTGAATTATTAAATAGCTTTACAATATGGGTGTTTTTAATCAGGACAAAGAAGATGAAAGAGAAGAAAAACAGGAAGAGGAGAGTGATGAAGAAAAGAAAGAAAAGGAGGTAAAAGCAGCATGACCATTTATTTCAACAATGTTTTTTTTTTAGCAGACAATTCCCAGCTTTTATTATAGTTCACTTGTATTGAATGCATGTTTCAGGTACTTGGTGATCATTGCTGTATTATGTTACATTATACTGTTCTTCATAGAAACATTTCCTGGTATAAAGAAACAGATCTTAAATTGTTCTTGTTTTACTAGGATGTTTTATTAACATCTGGACTTTATTTCTAACAGTCACTTGCATCTAGGATTGAATTCAAGCTTAAAGCCGTGCTAAAATTCCCTTTGTTTTGTTTTTGATGCCTAGTGTAATACCCGGCTGTGTACTGCTGTTCATGATGCCCAGTGTAATTACCAGCTGTGTACTGCTGTTCTTGATGCCCAGTGTAATTACCAGCTGTGTACTGCTGTTCTTGATGCCCAGTGTAATTACCAGCTGTGTACTGCTGTTCTTGATGCCCAGTGTAATTACCAGCTGTGTACTGCTGTTCTTGATGCCCAGTGTAATTACCAGCTGTGTACTGCTGTTCTTGATGCCCAGTGTAATTACCAGCTGTGTACTGCTGTTCTTGATGCCCAGTGTAATTACCAGCTGTGTACTGCTGTTCTTGATGCCCAGTGTAATTACCAGCTGTGTACTGCTGTTCTTGATGCCCAGTGTAATTACCAGCTGTGTACTGCTGTTCTTGATGCCCAGTGTAATTACCAGCTGTGTACTGCTGTTCTTGATGCCCAGTGTAATTACCAGCTGTGTACTGCTGTTCTTGATGCCCAGTGTAATTACCAGCTGTGTACTGCTGTTCTTGATGCCCAGTGTAATTACCAGCTGTGTACTGCTGTTCTTGATGCCCAGTGTAATTACCAGCTGTGTACTGCTGTTCTTGATGCCCAGTGTAATTACCAGCTGTGTACTGCTGTTCTTGATGCCCAGTGTAATTACCAGCTGTGTACTGCTGTTCTTGATGCCCAGTGTAATTACCAGCTGTGTACTGCTGTTCTTGATGCCCAGTGTAATTACCAGCTGTGTACTGCTGTTCTTGATGCCCAGTGTAATTACCAGCTGTGTACTGCTGTTCTTGATGCCCAGTGTAATTACCAGCTGTGTACTGCTGTTCTTGATGCCCAGTGTAATTACCAGCTGTGTACTGCTGTTCTTGATGCCCAGTGTAATTACCAGCTGTGTACTGCTGTTCTTGATGCCCAGTGTAATTACCAGCTGTGTACTGCTGTTCTTGATGCCCAGTGTAATTACCAGCTGTGTACTGCTGTTCTTGATGCCCAGTGTAATTACCAGCTGTGTACTGCTGTTCTTGATGCCCAGTGTAATTACCGGCTGTGTACTGCTGTTCTTGATGCCCAGTGTAATTACCGGCTGTGTACTGCTGTTCTTGATGCCCAGTGTAATTACCGGCTGTGTACTGCTGTTCTTGATGCCCAGTGTAATTACCGGCTGTGTACTGTTGTTCTTGATGCCCAGTGTAATTACCGGCTGTGTACTGCTGTTCTTGATGCCCAGTGTAATTACCAGCTGTGTACTGCTGTTCTTGATGACCAGTGTAATGACCAGCTGTGTACTGCTGTTCTTGATTGTGGTCTGCCATCTGGTAATAAATAACAGTCAAATATAATATATTATAGCACACCAAGTTTACTTATTTTATGCACATGGTAGGCTGTCACTTGTAGGTTTTAATTATTTCACCCACAGCTAACTGTTGGCTCACTTCACTCCCCTTGCTTCAATACCCTGCTCATGCTTTCTAACATTGGCCTTCATATAGGACAGGGATGATGCTGAGGCCAGTGAAGATGAAAGTAAAACTGGACAGGAGGAGGAGGGTGAGAGTGAAAATACTGAGGTGGCAGGAGTAGAAGCTGAAGAATCTGATGACAAAGAAGAAGAGAAGGACAAAGAGGAGAAGGATGAGGCCAGCAAGGTGGTATGCATGGGCATGCTGTCTTGATTTGACCCCAGACCTAACTTATGCTTCTCAGCTTTATGAAATTTTATTTTCAGGGTTCTAAAAAGTTTTATTTACATATTTTCCAGTAAAGATTATGTATTACTGTAGATCTATAACACACTAGTATTTCAGTTTTCTTTCAATTATTAACAGAAGAAATTTTTCATATTTTATGCTCAAGTCCCAGTTTCACAAAGAATATAAAAAACTGAAGTTGACTACATTAAGCTTAGTGACTTATCAATATAGCCATCTCTAAGTGTTGCACAAAGAGTCTTAAATTCCAGCTTCAAAGTAAAGGTAAAACATTAGAAAAATTGAAAAGTGCCATTGGACATCTAGTAGTAAAAAAATGCGGACAAACATAGCAATGTTGCATTTTAATTTTTATTAAGAAATTCAATAAGTTTCAGTAACCTTCAAAGATATTATAACACAATATGGTGAGCGGCCTTTTAGACTCTATGTGAAACACCGCTAAGTCCCGCATGGTATTTGTAACATTGTAAACAAATATTTTAGCCAAAACATACCTAGAATTTTTGTGAAACAGGGGCCAGTTGTTTAGTGAAACAATTAGAAATATACAGTGCTCTCAGCTATGAAGTTTAGTTAAGATATTGTTGATATGTGTGCCTGGTGGTGTTTGAAATAGACTATTGTCAAATATCAAATAATTATTTCATTCTTTAGGAGGAGGAGAGTGAAAGTGAGACAGATGATAAAAAGGTAGTTTATGCATGGTGAGGTGCATGCACTTTGGTTCTTTCAACTGTTTGTCCACCATGTGAAAATAGATCATCCAGTCTGTGCTTTAGTACCTGCCAAATCTGTGACATGATGAATATAATGAACATATTGGTCTGCCATGGTGATTGTTACATGGACTAACTGTATTTGAACCAACTTCTAAGCTGTTATAAAACATATTGAAGTGTATACTCATATATTTTGATTTATACTTTCTTGCAAAAACAAATATTCATTACAGATGTGTGCATATGCATAGATTGGAATCCTAATAGGAGGCTTTTACTTATTGACCCCCACCCCCTTTTAATTGTGTGTAAATAAAAGTTATGTTAGATTGAATATTATATTGTTTTGGGGGGTGGCTGTGGATGCAGTGGAAAAAGTAAGGCTTGTCATGTGCTGCCAGCTATGTCTTTGCAGGTGCTTGAAAACTATGTATAAACAGTGCAATGGGGGGGGGGGGGGGGGGGGCAATAAAACAATGAGTTTTGAAGATGTACTGGTGCATCTGTCATCGCATTACCTTTAATAGCATGCTGATGTACATGTGCAGTATATATGTCACAGGCCAGCAGTATATATACTCTGCGGATGACAATAGTGCATTTGGCACAGTGTAGTACATATACACTGCAGATGAAAACTGTGTTTACTGCAGACTGTATTAATTGAGAGTCTTGGCATTAATAGGAGATTTGAAAAGATAAAATGGTTTCACAGCGGCAGTGATTTTTTTCAGGCCTATGAGCTTAACTTTTATATGTGCTTATATGAGATTGTAAGATAGATAAGGTGCTATGTTTTTTGTGTTATAATACTATGCCTGTGGCATGAAAACAGTTGAAACATAAGAATTATGTGAAGACAGCTATATATGTACATGTGATATATATCTTCACCCTGTACCTGTGAAACCTGA